AATATCTCTCTACTGTAAGAGGTTCCAAGCTAAATTAAAATAATTCATTTAAAACAAATGTTCACTGAACATGAATCATAACATTGGTGGTCTTGGAAGAAATAAAAAAAGTGTAATGCATTTCTGAAGGAATCAAATTTTGGATATTGCTACATTTAACTATTGGAGCAAGAACTTTTTATTAAAGACCGTGAAAGAGAGAAACCTTTCCAGCAATTCACATGGGAAATACAAATACTTAAAATAAATGGTCTGTCTCAGTCTATACAATTTTCCTGTCCCAGATCCCTGAATAACAATAAGCCAAATTTTATTCTGAAGGAAAAATGGCACAGAACAACTAAATAGAATTTGGAAACTTTCAGATGATGTCTACAGAGTAGACTGCAGGTAAAAGCTCTGTAAAAAATTGGCTTTAGATGCAAATATAGAAGAGTAATTAATTGTAACTTTATATCTTGTAAAGGTACTCAGTTGAAAAAAAAAAAAGAAAGAAAAAAAAGACTCAGTATGATATATCTTTCTTCATCAGTTTTACACTCCAGACCTTTACTACTTTTTGCCTTCCATTGCTGAGTATAACCTCACCCTCCTTCACTCATGTCATGGAAATATCTGAGGTATAAGGAATTTACCCGTTACAGACTCCGACTTTCTTAAGGATCCTGGAAGAAATGTAAGCAATTATTCAATCACAGAAAGGCTTAGATTGTCAGTGACCACAAAAATAACCCCGTTTCAGCCTCCCTGCCTTGGGCAGGATGTCCACCCTCCTAGAGCAAGCTGCATAGGCCCCCATCCAACACGGCCTCAAACAACTCCATGGATGGAGACACTGTTGATTTGAAGATAATCACAGGCAGGAAAAGGGGACTAGCTAACAAACTTTTCAGTTTAAAATCAAGATCCTTAAATAGTCAGAACGTGAAATAAGCTAAATAAAAGAAGCATGTTTTGGTAGGCTCATAATATCAGAACAGTATTCCAGTCATTTTTCTCAGAGTGTTCACTGGGAAAAGCTGGCATTTCCAATCAAATAATTTGTCTTTGCTAAGAGCAAAATTCTCCTTCAGTATTTCCTGGAGCAGCCTAAGACACTGGTAATTTCAAATGAAGAAATCTCCTAAGTCATATATGGGAAGCATATGATCTTCACGATCTTTATTTAGTCTTGCCAACTTATCACGAGCTGACATTTTTCTTCAGAACAATCTGGATGAGATAGAGGAATAAACATTTGGAGAATCTAGGCCTAAAGTTATCTGATAAGGAAGCAGACCTTTGCCTCCATGAGACCAGGGTTAGCTTCTCATTACACCAGCGTTAGCTTCTCATTACTTCTGAACTGGGAGATGACATATAGTTCAGAAAATCTCACTGCTCTCATGCCACTCAAGGCTCAGCAGGAACAGTACATAATCTTCACCTGCACTACTCTCAACTACATAAGTGGGCATCAAGGCTGTATGCAGGCTTCAAGAGTATTTTGATGATGCCTGACAGCTCATCAAATTAAATACAGTGTGATGAGAGGAAAAAAAAGCAAGAATATTGAAAATACTTTAGTGTTTTGTTTTGTTTTTTAAATGTTTGTCCCCGTAGCATTTCTTTTCCTTGGAAAACAAAGTGTTTGGCATCAGTACTTAATGAGTAGTCATATGAAATAGGTTTAAATAGAGTTTTATGTATGTTTTGCCATACATTTTGCTGTGCTAGTTGGCGATGTGCATTTTAAATTTACAGAGTGTTCTGTTAGGTGTAATTTAGCATATGTAACTGCAGTTTCCTTCAACAATTTTCTCTGTTATCCTGACATCTTTCCCTTCTCCTGCCACCCTGAGCTTTTTCAAGATTTTCCAGGGCCATCATTTCGATCACGACCCTCTTCTCCTTGAACAATTCCATCCCTCTGCTATACCAGACAGACTCTGCTTTTACCTTCAAACCCTGTCAGAATACCACCTAGCTCATCCCTTTTCACCTCTGAACTACAAGTAGACTAAGGCAACCTCGTGGACATTTTGAGACTAAACTCTTCTTTTTATTCTGTAGCAGAATGAACTACAATATGTTTATGCATTTTCTCTATTTTCTTTCCACATTTTCTGACCAAAGTTTCTCTGGGAAATTTCACTAGAATTTTTTTTATTCTGATATGAAGTGTTTGACTCCAGTTAAGAAAACATACTTTGATGGAAATGCATTCAGCTGAAACTGTTCCAAAACATCAACTCCAATTGCTGTTGACTTTTAATCAGCCTATGCTATCAGACTCCATGGCAAACTTACTTCATTTCCAAATCTTAGTCATTGTAGGGCAGATAGACCCAAACCATGAAACTGCAAAATATTTCAGACAGTGAGAAAAAAGATTATTTTCCTTCACATTCATTTGCAAGTATCAGAACATGAATTCGTGGGGTACATTGTTTCTGGGTAGATTCTAAACCTCAAACACAAAGTCCCATACTTGGTCAAATCATGACCAATTGTTTCCTGAAGTTCTACCGTGTGGCTGGTTGTGACATTCACAATTACAAGTAAGGCACACATTGAGCATCACAGCTTGTGATGGTATCCCATTGATTTTCTGTTCTCTATGTATGAGTGCCATTGTACATCTCTCTACAATTAAAATGTGAAAAGGCGTATATATATATATATGTATATATATATATATATGTTGTAGCAGGTGACACAATGAGCTGCAGAAATATGTTTCTGCAGCTGAAAATCTGTCTTAAATATACTTGCAAAGTTTCCTTTGTGTGCTCATAAAAGACAAGCTTGCAAACCTATAATAGTGATTGAGTGCATGTAGTACTGTGTTTATATAGGTGTAAGAAAGATTTAAAACCAAGGCCAATACAAACAGAAAATCATTTATATCACAGGTCGTGTTTAAATTCTACAATCCCTTCCTGCTTCAATCCCCTGAAAATTCCAGTGTATTTCCTGCATCTGTCCATCCTCAATTGCTTATTATGAAATCAAATCCTAAGCTGCATCTATATTGGAGGAAAAAAAAAAAAAAAGAAAAAAAAAAAAGAAAGATGATTTGGGAGATACTAACATCCAGTAAGGAAATCAGCTTCCTATAAATAACAAGCTCCACTAATTTTAATAAATACATGGTTATTGTTCAGATGATTTTTTTTGCAGAAAGAAAAAAAAATCTTCTCTTTCAAAATGAAATACGAAGAAGTGCAAAAATGCTAATTTTCTAAGAAGAAACATTTGTATTCCAAATTAATATTTTGAAATGAGAGATCATTTCTGTGTTGTTTTACATTGTTGCTGTTTTGTGGTTTGTTTTTTTTTTTTTTAATAAAAAAAATTATGTTGAGGAGTTGGTTCAAAACAATAGATGAAAAGTATTCATATAAGTAATTTCTTCATTTCTGAAAAAACTTTTTGGTTTAAGCTAAAAATGGATTTAAAATAATGGCTTTTAAATAACAGCACTTTCATGAGACAAAATTTCCTTTCTCCAAAATTTGTTCTTAAAAGCATGGTGAAAGACATTAAAATGAGTCTATTATTTTAATATGCTTTCAAACTTCTTAAAACTCAATTATTTTGGTGACAATGTTTCCAGTGACTGCAGTATCTGTTTGTTTAATCTTCAGTTAATCTATTTTCCATGCATAGAAGATGAGGCAGGTTATAGAGAACAGCATAAACATTATTACCCATGCAAAAATAACTTCTTGCCTTGTCAATATAAACTCAGTTATCAGCAACAGTGTTATTCTTGATATCCAGATTCTTCCTATTGTCACCAGATGGCAGCCTCGACATATTCCAGTGAAACACAGCTTTGTGACGTGAAGTTAAGAGTGGACTTTGAGAACAGTTGCTTTTTGAGATGATTTTTTTTCTATATACTCTCCTGTGAATTTCTCCATCTCAGTGGTCTGCACTCATCTCTAGCACAACCTCAGGTCAGCTTCCTTTGACTGCAGTGTTTTAAATTGACAAGTCTACCACTTCATACCTGAAAGACTGATGTCTGAGTCAACTATGATTTGGTGTGTTTCTTTGGTCCAAGTAAAGGCCAAGGACAGAGAATTCACTATGTAAATCCTGGAATGCTTACTTGGGAGTACGAATCTTCTTCTGTGCTCACATGCATTTGAGTAAACAAAGATTTGGCATGCAACAAGTAGCATCGTCCCAAATTCCCTTTATTGGATCATCTTCTCTTCTGTTGTCTGGCACAAGATGAAGAAACTCATCTTGTCCCTTTCAACCTAAGCCATTCTGTGATACTAAGCCATGGTGCATTACACTTCCCATTGAGATGTACATAAGCTACAAAACAGCACTGGGAAATCAGAGTTGGTTGATTCAAAGCTAAACAGTGACAGCACGGTGTAACAAACGGCACGATGCATTCAGAAAATGCAGGATTTAAGTCTGCCAGTCTGTTATATCTGGTGCATAAATGATAACAACAATTAAAAAAAAATAGTGAAAAGATGAAGGTTGGAGAAAATAAATGCATGAGGCCCAGGACTGTTTTTTAAGCAGTACGTATAAATATGATCAAGCACAGTGAGCAGAGCTGAGATTGCACTGTGGCTGTAACAGGTCTACTTTTCATTGGGAAAAAGAGCAGCCAGCCCAGGGGCAGAGGAAGCGTAGCAGGGGGTAGGAACTGAGTGCTGTGCTAATGTGCCTACACTGTAGGATGGCACCATCATCACTCGTAAATGATAGTCACACATGCAAGGATTGCAGGACAGCACTCTTAACTATCTCCTTCTGTGCAAGTTTTCCCCAGTTTTACACAAACATGCTAATATATTCGAATCAATATAGTGTTAAGCATTTACTTAATGGCTTACATTTCAAAAGAGAGGTATCCAGCAGCTTTCTTGTAATCAGTGAAAAACTTTAAAAATTCATTTCTTTAAAAATTTAGTTTAATATCCACAGGTTAAGAGATCTTATTCCGACCATTTAAAAACAAACAAACAAAGAAAACATTAGTTACTGCAGCAGTGCTCCTACGCTACTATACCACCGTCATATTACTCCCCAAAAGAGAATGAGATATGTCAAAAATGAAATTAGCCACTCAAACACTAACAAACTTTCTAGAAGAAGTAAGAATCTCTAGTTTTTCAAGCTAGTTACATAACACCAAGAAAAAAATCTATCCTCTGGTCAGCATACCAAACAACATACCAAAATTCTGGGGTTTTCTGGCACCACAAACCATGGCATTTGATCCACCTTTCATTTATCAAGTATTTAAGGGAAGAGATTTATGCCACTCCAATCCCCTTAGCCCTTTCAATTATCAGACAGAAGCACACAGCTTGGGGCACATAGCACAAGCATGCGAGATGGGAAGGATTTGTAAAGCCCCAGCTAAGCAGTCACCTTTGTCAAAACACCGTTGATTCACTAAAGATCCAAGATGTGCCCACAGGATCTTCATTTTAAAATTTCTCATCCTGATGAGCTCTTTGTAGCCATGCACATTTTTTCTAGTCCAAAAATATACTCACAAATCAATTTCAAATGCTGTAAGTATACCAGATCGTGAACCCTGGTTCTAGTGAATCAACCCAAATTAACATCTTCTGAGTTAAAGATTATTCCTAGACACTTAGGGGTGTTGTATTTGAGATAGCTAATTGTAAGATCAGAAACCTGTAATGAGCTCCAGATACTCACCCAGATGGTACTCCACAAATACTGACTCAATTTTCATTCTCATTTCCTTCGCTTTTAATAAGATGTTCCTATAATTAAACCAGCCTAAGGCTTGGTTCAGTGGGTAATAACTCATGCTGAGATTCATTGAGAGCCTAAAGCTAAATATACTTAGATATGAATAATATACAGTTATTTTCCCCCTGCTGCTTTTACTGCTGTATGCTTTGACTTGTTCAAAATGCATAAGAGAACACAGCGCTTGTGAAGCCAACAACATAGTCTTCTAACAAAGAAAACCCTTTCCCCCCAACCACCTCCACAAGCCTGTGGTCAGCCCACAACATTACCCAGGCAAGTTGGGCTTCACAGCAGATGTGGTCCTCATTGAAACTTGCATAGACCCTGAAGGTGCTGCTACATCCAGAAAATAGACAAATCCTCCAAGCTTGTACATATTGAGCTAGCTTTAAGCACACAAATACTACATTTCTGCATTTTAAGTCAAACACAAGCACACACGTTTGCAAAGATGAGGCTCTAATTGGAGTTTTCAGCCAGCTGTCCACAATTTAGGAAGAGGGCTCATTAGTTGGCATGGAAACCAGCTTTACACATAAGCCACCCAAAGAGTGTGCAGAACTCTCACTAGTGAAATCTTAAGAACATAAAATGGTTTATGGCAACTTTTTACCCATTTTCTCAGTCCCCAATAACCAGGGCTCAGATTCCATATAAGACAAACTAGGAGTATCTCTAAATGAAGAAACTTTAAGGATACCACAATTCCTCTGACTTACTGTGCCCTTCTTCCTCAAAATATTCCTTAAAATCCCTTGGTTCCCTGTTTCTGCAAAGAGGTCTTATGGTCTGGAGTCTGTTTACAAAAATACTCGGGTAACCCTGAAACCTGGCTGATCACCCAGGCATCGTGGCACGCAGACAAACAGTGGGCCAGACATTTATCACAACAACCAAACTGCAATTTCTGCAATCAAATATCTCACAAGAAAAATCTAGCTGATATGTCAGGAGGCTATGAGTGGAGATACAAATATGGATGTTATTCAGTAGTTTTTATTGCTGAGGACTTCGTATTCTTAAATCCTTATGCAGCTGTTGATACTGTAATATGTTTATTATCAGTTGATCATACACAGTTGAGGTCAACCCATGGCATTTATAAACAGTGTTTGTTTAGTCTTAGGTTTTATCTTAGTATAAAAGTGAACAATTGATAAACAAAATGAGAAAAAATGGTCACACAAAGGACAGACTTCTAAAAATCAAGCTGCTGGATGCTTTAATCTGGTTTGGATACCAGGGCTTCAGAGAGTTCCAAGTACTTTTAAAGCTTAAAGCAGAAGAAGTGCACATGTGCCTGTGCACTGAGAAGCCACAGTGCCTGCCCACTTGAGCCTGGGATTAAGCATGCAAATTGATCCCGACCCTCTGTCATCAGTACTCAGAGCTCAGCTACAACTGGTCTTGCCACACACAGTAGTTGTGGGTTCATGCCATCTCTTCTAAAGATAGCAAGTATGGCCAAGGAGTCTTTGTTCTTGTTTCAGGCTCATTAGATGAGTGATGACAGCTTATAGTAGGGGTCCCTCATGACCAGACAACAAGCTAGGCCCCCAACTGCTGCTGTCCACTACAACTGCAGTTGAATTTAGCCAGCTGTTGTAACAACCAGTGCAACACAAGAAACAGACCTCCCTGCTCTCAGGTTTAATGAGTTGGGTGCACTTTCTACAAGTTTCCCTGCAAGATCCCACTCAACCATGAGGCTTTGTGCTGCTGCAGAAGCATATTGCTATATCATCTCACTTCTTGTTGTTGGCCTCCCCCCTAGGCAGAAACACCTTTCTTGTCTTTTGGCCTGCTGAGTCTGAACTAAAGCAAACATTCTCATTGAAGAAGAAGGAAGATAGCTCTCCTCACCCTGTTGTTTCTCTCTGAACCGACTGTTCAAAATTGTACTCTTTATTTTAAGAAAGGTGGTGGGTGAAATATAATCACTGGGATTTATAAAGCCTGCTTTATACGTAACAGAGGTTCAGTAGTGATGTACATCCAGAGTTCATTTTCCAAAGAAGCAGTGGATTATGTGTTTTGTTCACTGCTATGAGTAAACTGATATTATTATTGGACTGATAGAGCCAGGCTCAGAGAGAATCACAAAGAAAGTAACTCTGGAAAATTCCGAGGAGTGACCATACTTGTAAAAAAAAAACTATGTAATTCCTGAAAGTTGGTTTTGATGCTCTCACTCTGTGTGTATGAGATCCTTCAAGTTCTTTGCACAAGGACGCATGATAGAGTTTTGCAATGTTCCTCTGAAAATAAAGACATTAGATTTTTGTGCCAATGCAACTTAGAAGATGAAGGATTAATTGAAGTTAATCCAACAGAAAAAGGTTGCTGTAAAGAATTAAAAGTATTTATTTTAATTGACCCTTCCTTTGAAGAAAATTAAGACTCCATGTATTCTTTTTTTTTTAAGAAAGGTGTTCTCAGCCCCAGTAGTCTGATTAAAATTGTTTTCTTTGAACCTCTTCTTTGCAATCAGATTTAATGGATGTAATCTGAAGAAGATTTGAAAGCTCCATTCTCTCTCTCTTGTTTTAAATCACCGCTTTGCACTAACCCCAATACTTTGATACTCTTTTCACAGCCAACTTCACAGTAGAGTTGTAAAGTATATTGGCACACATAAATGATTGGGCTGTAGTATAAAGTCTTCAGGAGAAAGAAAACTTTGTAGACTTTGTTATTTGTCAACGTGTCAATAAAATGATAAATACTGTATCTCTTCAATTTGCCTATGGTAGGCAAAAATATGTACCTACCACTCAGCACACAGTCCTACTTTCCAAAGTCATTCTAGCAGTTAAAGCTAGAAAAAGACTCCTTAGCCAATTTCTCCCTTGCAAAAACTTCTCATAACTTGTGGGAAATACTTTATTTCTGTATTCTATTACAGGTGTTTTGATTCATTGTTCTAAAGATTTTCAAGTGAAACATCACTCATTATTTGATGCAGATGAAGGCAAGGCAGACAGACAGGTACAGGGTACAGTTTGGGAATATGAGGAGGCCTTTGTGGTTCTCTGTTTGGGAATATGATGAGGCCTTTGTGGTTCTCTAAGTGACATTTTAATATAAATTGCCATAATAAGAATGCTGTATTGAGATGTTGCAACTGCTTTCTTGTTTCAGCTATTTGCTTTCAGCTCTCATCTAGACAAGGATCTTCCTCATTTTAGAAATATTTGTAATGATGCACCTAGTGCCAGGAATCACTGAACAAAGTTCATCGATTTAAAAAAGAAGAGACTTCTTATAAGGAACTCCACCACAAATGCATGAGGCAGTGACAGATTTATTGTCTTAATTGCTCTGAGTTAATAAATTCTGAGTAATGTGACACTTTGTAAAATTACTAATTGTTAGTATTTTTTTCTTAGTTGTGACAGTACTTTCATCTTCCAACAGAACGTTATTCAGTGATTATTTCAAGCCTTGATTTCATTTCAATGGCCTTCTCAGCCACGCTGCTTTCTCATAAAGATAACCTGATATGTCAGTTGTCATTGTTTAGCACAAATATTAAAACATACTACTTTGTCACATGCTAGGGAATTCTGACTCTAGTGTAGTTACAGCAGCTTTTCTATTTACCTCAATAGCTCAAAATTTACTTCACTTGCCTTGAGTTTCTTTGCATTCCTCATATCTTCATACAGACACAATAAGATATTTCATCTTGGGTCTGAAGTTCATACTGAGTTCAAAAAAAGAATTAATTCAACTTTAATCCTAGGTCTAATGCTAGCAGAAAGCAATACTTGTTATGAACAATTCATTGCTATGATATCAAGCAGGTTAAAACACACAGTTTCTAGAACGTCAGTAGATATTTGCACTTGGAGTATCAGGGAACTCTCTGTGCTTCTGACTTTAACTTGAGATCTGAAAAAATAAAGAATATTCGTAATATTCATCCTTTCCTATAAAAAATTTTTTTTAATGTGTGGCAATTAGTCCTACATCTACTTTACTCAATGTGCAAAAAGATCTCAGCTTTAAAACCAGCTCTGTAGGACAGTGTTTTCCTTACAGTTTTTACTGAGGCTTTATTTAACTGCATAATTATTCAAAGTCTGATGCATAATCCTCATGCATTTTTATGGTGCTTGTCATTACAACAGCTATGTGCAACACAGACATGAATATGTATATATTTACAACATCTTTATGAGCAGATAAATCATGTTATCTTTTACATTTATCTATCATTACATTTATCTATCATTGCATTTATCTATTTATCATTATCTACATTTTACGCCTTAATGCTGAGACAGGGAGGTCAATACCAGTAATGTTCACTGACTTTAGGTATCAGCTTGAAGCCCTTCAGATCTGTTTTTGTAGACAATAAGTCCTATGTAGCACATATTTTCAATTGAAATGCCAGTTATCTTATTTACTCCCGTATGTGCTTTGTTTTTCCACTGAACTCAATAATACAAATCCAGCACCAGATCATGAAAAATGGAAGTTTTAGCACTACACAAGAAAAATAAGATGAAAATAGCTAGCCAGCCTTACCTAGGGAGATCAGGGCAGTGCCAGGTATGGAACGGCCAGTTTCACCAAGGGGCATTATGCCCAGAGACCTACGGGCTAAAAAGAAAATACAGACAGTGATAGAAGGAAAGCAGGAAAGCATATTTTCCTTTTTTTTTTTTTTTTTTTTTTTTTTTGGTAGAGATTAAAACAAAATCATAGGCAAATATGGGAATTTTTCTAAAGCACATACTATGCATCATTTAGCTATGATCACTCAGATGGTCTATGTGAAATGTAGGTACAGCATTCAGTGATTAAACTGGCCTAAGTATAGGGTGTAGGCACAAGCTTGCTTTGCTGAACAGCTGAAATGGAGAAGTTATCACTTCATACAAAGGCCAAACTACTTTTTGGAAGTGATTCCAAACAAACTGTGTAACAAGAGACAAGCGAAGACCTTGCAAAAATGTTGTTTGATTTGCACTTACACTGAATTGTACTGCCTACTGTGAGCTACAGCTGAGAGGTGACAGTAGAAAGATTTTTGGCTTCTTCTGTCAGATGTAGAAGAGAGAGCTCAGATCCGAAGTCCAGTTCCTAAGATCATTCTTCCCTTGAAAGTAAAAAGCTGGTATTCATATGTGACTACAATCTAGAGTAATTATCAAAGTGATAAGATGCAATCATGAGCATAACAGTTATTCAGAAAGGAATAATTTCAAGTTATTTATCACTTTCATTCACTAAAAACTTCATTCTGAAGCAGCAGGAGAAGAAGCAAACACTGTCTGGCATCGTTACTCATTTCCCTCAATTATCTAGTGTGCTGAATTAAACCCCCAAAACTAACAAGAAACTGTTTCCCAGAAAACAGTCTCAGACTAGCAAGTTTTTTCAGCATTATTTGCATTACTGTTTATCTCATGTGAGCTGATGAAAGTCCCAAGGATTTACCTCTGACAAAAAGAGGGGGACAAACACACATGAGTGCCCAGCAGCTCAGCTCAGCTGTGGTGAGGCTGCCAAAGGAGATAATTCTGCCAAGCGAAATGGCTTCCAGGCTGTGCACTTCTGTGTCAAAATGACATTAGTATATTTTGACATAAGTGCTGTCTTTTATCAGGGATAAGCTTCAAAGCCACAGAGATGGGAAATCAGAGTTTGACAGAAAAAATACAGGTTGACAGAAAAACATGAAGAGAATTTGTTAAACCCAGTGCTCCAAGAGCCTATGATTCATTCAAGGACCAAACTTAGAGCAAAAGATGTTTTACTGTTGCATGACCACGATGGTTTTGGCATAGTAAATTAATAAACTTCCTCTGCAGAGAAATGTACCTTGTGCCTGCTCTAGTGACTAGAGCTGCCTACCCGCTGCCTTGCTGATCACAGGAAGAGGAAAATGTATCTTCATTTGCCAAAGTTATCACACAGGTTTCGTAGCTGTTTGGTAGTGACACAGAATTTCCATTAGATTCCATAGGCCAAAAGCTTTACTGAATGGGGTTAAAAGTTTCTGACTTCACATCAACAAAACTTCCTGCTGGAGTGATTGTTATGTCCAACAAGGTAGGTCGTTTCCCTCCTGTGTATTTTTCCTCATCTTATCTCTAGTGACTCCAAAAGCACATAGGATTCACAGAAGCTAAAACTAAAACAACAACCTACATCCGGTCAATCAGGTCATCTCTGATCTTTCGGTCAGTCCCCTTTGACAGCCACACAGTCAATAAAATTGCCTGGGGATGATGCCAGCAAGTTGAATTCCCTCTTCCCTTTCCCTTGAAGCTCAGCAGAAGACAGAAAGAACATTTTCATCTTCTTAGCCAGATTTCAGCACTCGAAGAAGGATTGTACTTCCAATTATAAGTGGCATTGCTTCTTGTGACAGCTGTCTGTTTGCATGATTGATGTCTGCCCATCTCTGTTTGAGTTCAGAAGCTTCTGCAGCGCACACAAGAAGATCAAAGACTTCTATCTAAATCCCTTACCTCAAAATATTTACTCACTGTCATCTGGAGAGATAGGGAGAAGTCATGGCCTCAACATCTGACAACTCACTTGTGACGCCTTCTAATGGGTCCCATTTGCCATTAATGTCACCAATGATATAATTTGGATATCACAAAGAATACATTACAGAGGTTTCCAGAAAGGGGTAACTAGATCTAGTTCTGTCTGGATAAGGCAGAAGACACACAGCTGGGAAAGAGGAATCACTAGTAAAATGATACAGAACATAAACTCTGGAGATAAATAGTCGTGAAGACTTTTTGATTCAGCTAGGATTTCTAGACTTTAAGCCTAGATATATCTGCACAGATCTCATGCTCAGGTTATTGCTTAAGGCAGTATAGTACAAAATGATAAAGTCATTTTAGCCATGTAATGCCGAAGAAAACATTCTGTCATCTTGTTTGGCAATCTAATCATACGTGTGCAATACCGTTTCTCATCTAAGCCACCTATTGCTCATGGAAAGGATATCAACTTGCCTGTTGCTCCCAGTACATTTTGTAGAGCTTTGATTTCTGTACTCTGGCCAAAGTGTGGTATTGTTCAGGTCCTTTGTCTTGCCATTAATGTTCTTGTGTTATGGTTTTCTCTGTTGGGTCAATGAGATTAGATTTCATTAGCACAGCAAACTGAAAAAAATACAAGTTATTAGATAATCATTAAAGCACATCTGTTGCCTTTTTCAGAGTGCCAAAGTCTGAATTCCACTGAACTAGTGACATGGCACTTGACCAGCGCTTAGTTCAGCTATGGTCAATGAGCTGCAAAAAGATTAAAATATTAGCAGCCAGTTGATTCAACCTAATCCCTGGCAGTTTTGTTTAGACTGCAAAGAAAGGTGCCTAGAGCAAAAGTGAATGAAACAATTGCAGTAAGAAAATGCTAACATTTTTGAGTCTGTTCCACTGAATTTGCTATACTGGTACTTGACATGGGTGTTGTGCCAAGGCATCAGCTCCTCGGGCACTCTAAATACACTTTCATGCATATCCATGCTGAATTGGTTCAAAAGTCCCTGAGAACTTCTCAGCTTGAAAGTCTGGCTGCTAGACAATGGAATCAGGTATTTGTCCCCCATCCACACGCCCAAAATGAACAGAAATCTGAGCTATGAATGAATATAAAGTCTCAAATACCAGCTTCTTGTTTCTTTTCAAAAATTCTTCTGAAATATCCTGTGGCAAATATGTTAGATCATGTTTCTTTATTTTTTTTTTTATTTAAAGAGAAGTTGTATGTGTTCCCAAGTTTATCTAAATATATGGAGGCGTATTTACAAATAGTCAATAATTAATTTTTAAACACTTTCAATCATCTCTGTTGTCCTTCTCTTCATGACTATTTTCAACAGTTCTGCAACATTCCCTCATATCATATCTCTTCACTCATTAATCCCAATAAATTGTTGCTCACACAGTTTCTCTGCATTGTACTCCCAGAATTTGCCCCCTCACATGTTACTCACCTGGGTTATCAGTAATAAACAAGATAATTATGATAAGCTGTCGAATCTGTGACAGGTGGTGAAAGGCAAATGCAAGATAAATCCTACAATCTGAAGTTTATAATTGATGAATAGTCGCTTTTGGGTTTTTTTTTTCCAATAATTCTGTTTATAATACATTTACCTTCTTTCTATTCCTGACTTATCTGATATAATTTCTGTTTCAGTGAGCAGGTGATTAGCAATATGACTGCTCCTCTTTAACAAGGAAAAGAGGCATGTCTTAGAGAGCCTAGAGACTGGGTAATTCATGTACCAGCTACAGCAATTAAGGAATAACAATCATGTAACTCTGAACTTCTTACCTACACAAAAGGTTATCTCTTTTGTTCACTTTTCCTATAGTAGTTTTCCAACCTTGGAAAAAAGGTTATTTCCAGACTTGCAACTTCTGCTGCACATCACCAAATGGTTTGTACTATTTAGGCTGTTGCCTTGTGCTCAAAAATAGTCATTGTTTATATGTGATTGATTTAATATTTCCAGTTTAACTAAATGTTGGACCTGAAGAACGGCCTACGTTCTTCATTTTATAACTTGGCTATAGAAGACAGTATGTGATATCTAAAGAGTCTGTACTGATAAATTACACTTGTTAACAGCAGCTACACGTCCCCTTGGGATATTTTCTGGGTTCCAGAGCAGTTAAGGAATTCTAAATAATTTGCTGTGAGGGTTCTTCTGGAAACAAACAAAACTTTTCCCTGCCTTTTGAAAAGAAGATATGCATAATCATGAACACAGGATTAGGACATATATCCTAGATGCATGAAGCCTAGCTTTAGGTTTTGTATGCTTTTAAGAGGGCTCAAACCCACATCTCTGACTTCCATGTATGGTACCCTAGCTACCAAGACAAAAAGATGAAACTGCAACATTATTCAAGGAAAAATTCAAAATTCACAGGGTGAGATCTTACGTCTTCTGATATCAAATAATGATTCAGGATCTCACCTAGAGTGTGAGAAATTTGGATTTTTGTGTATGCTCTACCATGTATTTTATGGGGCCTGGTTAATGTAAAGTAAGCAAAGGAAGAGACAGGTTTCAAGGCTCTACGGCTCTGCTTTTTTACATCTACTTACCAGAAAAAAAAAAATAATGCAAATGCAATCTCCCTAGGCTGGTAATTGTTAAGATCATTTTAGCAGAGTATAACCATTTAGCAAAAAACAGAGAGCACAGCAGACAAAATTACAGCTGTTAGGGCAGCCCTCAGAAAAAAGAAAAAAAAAAAAAAGAAAAAAAAAAAAATGAAAAATATATATATAGTCCAGCTTTTCTGTTCACTTAGCTTTCTTTCCGTCCAAAATAGTCACTATGCTACAGTGAGAATGGTTCTTCCAAAGGCCTGCACAACTGATCTCAGACTCTTTACACATATTTATTATAACTGGGAAATGTAAACCTTGAGTTAGGCAGCCAATGAACTGATGAATGGTTGTTACAGCTATAAAATGGGGTTGGGGCCAAAGAGTGATGTGATCAGGCAACTCTGTCCAGCAGAATGGTGCCCTATGGAGTGCTGGTTTCTCAAAGCAAGTTGGAGAGAAACCTAAGCTTGTTTTCACCTGTGACTGGAGCCCTTTTTTTTTTTTTTTTTTTTTTTCCCATGCATTTCTTTCTTCCTAGATTCTCATATATCAAGAAGGCAAAATTCCAACAATGCCTACTGGTTTTGTATCATATCTCCAGATCCTGCGCTTTCCTACAAGAGATGTTAACAGAACGCATTCTTAGATTTGAATAACCTTAATTTTAACTGTTTAATTCAGGATTGTTTCCCAATTTTAGAAGCAGTAATACTAAGTAGTCTGGAAATGGCACAGGTCCAGTTCACACCTTTTATACAGATTTATGGCAGATAATCAGTTTTAAAAACAAGCAAAAATTAGCAGACTATGAGTTTTTGACAACAAGTAATTCACTCCACCCATATTATTAACTGGACATCTTGTGTATACATATGAACAAATTTTAATTGTTAATCAAACAGTTCTGTGTTGTTAAGTTCAACAAACTATTTGTCCTCCTTTTTCTCCAACACCGCCCTGAGCTGCTATTAGTATATAAATCACTTCAGTTTTCCTGAGAAACGTCCAGTTCCTGTGACTCATAACACCACCTACTGGACAATTATGACCAAAATGTGACTAAAAATGTTCTTAATCAGTGCATTGGCCCATGTATGCCGATAATGTATTCATACACGCACCTGCTTTGGTCACAGTCTAACATGAATTCCTCCAGTGATGTTATGAACGGGTATTTTTTTTAGTGTCAGTGAACAAATACCTGTCAGAACCGAGAACATAAATTCTTCTCTTGCGATTTAGGCCTGGGGAATATTTGCAGCACAAAGATAGAAAATAATAAAATAATGATTCATTTCTGGTATTTATAAAAAGCAGCAGCCTGATGCTCCTTCAGCTAAGCCCTGTGTTTTAGTGTATGATTTTATTCCTATCAGCTAAAATCACGGCTTCTCCTTACTTCAGTCAGTGGGAAGTATCTAGGAGAAAAGTATGGCTTGTTCTAGCCTTTGGAAAATACCACCATGTTTAAAGGTAACCAGACAATTTGTTCTTTACCTCCCAGAAACACTTCAAAGTGCTTGGGAAAATGCTGCTGGATAAAGATGGATACCTACTGAGTGCAATCATAGCTCAACATACTCTTCACTTCCTTTGCATTATATGTGTTGTACGCCCTGAGATCACATGGGAACACATGGGGATTGCTCTGGCAATGATTAGGAGTATAGCCCCTGAACTTCCTCTAGCAAGTAGATAAATGTTTGTCAATCAGATGAGACAGTATGTATAAAGAGACATTAGGGGGACTTACAGACTCATTTCCCTGTCTTAAACAGTTACTATGATAATCTGAGCACTCTAACCAAAAGTGATGAGGTGCCGTCTGCTAATAGATTTCAACACACATTGTTCTTGAGTCTCAGTAGGTCTTTCACAGATCATGCGTTGAACCATTAGAGCTCAATGATTTGCAGTGGTAAGTGCAACCTGTTGCTTTTAATGTGCTACGGTATTAAAAAATCACACTTCAGAAAATCTCAGCACAGCAAAATAAGTGCTGTATATTCTGGGACATTAAACTGCTCTTTTATTTTCCCACTATTTGCAGTTAAAAAAATTAGATAGAATTACATATTTATTTCTGTATGTAAAATAACAGTAAAATAGAATAAATTATTTGATCTTCATTTTCAGAAAGGAATTCTCATTTTGGACAATACATTTGTCTGAATCTAAGATACTGTGGAGATTATTTTGACAGATGATGAATATATGAGCTCTCAAATCTCTTCAGTAGTAGCGGAATGAGGTAAGTCCAATAAAAATGATAGACCACTCTTAAAACGTGCTATTACAAAAGGAAGAGGTATTTGTTTCAGTCATATGATGAAACCAAAGTCTGCATACTCAAGACACGAATCTGAATTGAAATAAGGTTACTCACTGTTTGACCAGAAGTTATCTGTATTTTTTTCTTAGTGTAAAAGATTTTCCTCTTTCCTCTTGGCAATGCTCAGAATACTGTAGGCCTAACATTTATGGCAAAGAGTTACGTTTATTGCTTAGGATGAATAACATACTTTAGATAAAGACATGCAAATCTTTTAATTCTAATACCTTTGGCTAAGGACCAGGAATTAATAATGTTAACCTCAAGGATAATTAAAAATTAAAAAAAAAAAAAAAAAACAACAAAAAGCCTTAATCCGAACTTTGGAAAATTCCACAGAACATGTCCTTCTTTTCAACCCTTTCCTCCCCCCCCAACAAATACTGTTGACAAATCTCAAGAATTCCAGGTTTTCCTGTATGGGTATTTGAAAGGAATTTTTAATAACAAAAACTGTAGAATTCTTTTCTTATGTCTAAACTAATCAAGTAGAACAAATTAATGGAGTAAGATCTGAGTATGTATTACTCACTGGAAGATACTGTACCAGACAGTTCATGGCTCCTGAAATACTTATCAAGCTTTTATTATGTTATTGCCACTAACTGAAGTGGTAAACAGATCACATGATTTAAGAAAAAATCCCATGGTGTAAACCAGAAAATGTTGGATAAAGTTAGAAGTATGTGTACCCTAGTCTTGGCCCATTTAGGTCAAAGACAAAAGATCCTGCTGATTTCAACAGCCTTACTTAGGCCTTAGAAGTATTTTGCTAAAGTCACTGTGCCTGATAAAGCTTCAGGTTTATTTCCAGTCATACTGCGATATCAGCAATTGGAGCAAGGCACTGCTGTGTTTTGGCACTCTTGATATCATTTCCATCAGTACATACCTGCCTGAGCAGACCGCATAACTTCAGAGAGCCTGTTTTCAGAAAATACACCTTGTTTCTTGAAAATGACTTTCCCAAGGGGTGATACTTTGTGCTATACAGTCATCCTGAGCTGCAGTTTCAACTTTATGGCATTTCAGCAGTGAGATAACGAGCATAAGCATTGATTCATGTCCTGCTTCAGTACTTCAAATACACAGATTACGGATGGGTGTAAAATAGGATAATACAATCAGGATTTAGAAGCAAATATATTCACTTAAAGTCAAAATACTGTGGCTACTAATCATGTCTTGTTGACAGAACTGGACACTTCTGTTTTCCTTAACAGCAGAACTAATAAGCTCATCAAAGAAGTCGAGCCAGGGGAGGAAAAAGGCACCAACTCCCATTCTAGAAAGCCTTACTCTAATAGTTTTGACTGTATGCTAAAAATCGATTTTCCCTCGTCATAGTGTTTTACTTACCACAAGATGGCACTGTTTTTTATTTCTTTATTCTCAGCTGGAACAGTCCGCAGTCCTCTCGTGTTTCATCACGGTCTCTAAAGAGAAAACGAACAAATAGCAATTGTAATTAGCACACATTTATTTCATATATCCGTTTGTTTGGATCCCTGCTCTCTTTATAACAGAGTGGAAGAATCTGGGGGTAGTGGCTTGCAATGTTTATTGCTTGCAGATATTATTTCCTTTTCAGATTGTAAGATGCTTCACAGCCCACCAGAACAATTTGAATTTTTAGGTTTAGCTTACGTTGGGTCCACTAAATCAAAGAGCTGGTTCAGATGTGAGACCAATCTAAACATTCTCCTAAAAACGTGGTAAATATTTGGATGGACAGGATTTGAGTTTTCAATTCATAGTGAATTAAGGTAAGATGCCAAAAAAATTCTATACAGCATTTCATACAGTTCTACTATAGTAGTGTCTCTTTCATTGTCTATCTGGAAATAGTTTGTATTAAATAAATCTATAAATATAATGTTACGGAGTAGATGCTACTAAACATTCCCATAATAGACTAGTGGTGCCTACGAGGACAGGGGGATTTACAGAGATCCATATTTATGTAAATAAAGAGACTTTCATTAGCTGAAATAGGAGATGATAAAAAAATGATTTCTAAGTTTACATTCAAAATGTTAGCAGTCATTCTATTTATATGGCTTTATCATTATGCTGTTATGAATGGGAGATTTTGTTATCCCAAAGCACGATTTCTGCAGAATTCAGGCTCTAAGAAAGCTTACCAAACAACTGTTCTTTGAAAAAGTTGATTTGTGCTTCTGTTGAGAATCTGTACTAGTGACTTGCTGAAAGTAGTAAAGACCCCTCCTTCTACAGTATCCCCAGAAAGTATCCAGTGTTTGTTTTCTCTCTTGTGAAAGAACATCTGTTGTGAGCGGTATGAGCTATCTTCTGGGTCTGACCCACCTCTAGTTACTCTTTTAATAACCCAAGTCAGTATGCACAGTAAGTAGGACATGCATGGGTCTCCTTTCCACATAATGGATAGGCAGCAGTAACCTTGCATCTGCTCTTGTGTTAGTCTGTCACTCACAATCAGAGGTTACTTGATGCCTAAAATAATTCCTCCCTTGACAACTAATTCATCTGGGAAGAAAAAAGACTCCATCCAGATGGTGGGAATCTCACAGGCTTTTTTTTTTTTTTTTTTTTTTTTTTAATGGCAAGCCTCTACTTTTTAATAGACACTCAAGAAGTTATATAACGTTTTTGGTACTGTCATGTGCTATTATCAGCTTTTAAATATGTATTCAGCATTCAGAAAATAAATCCTTCCCTGACCTGGCAGAATACTTTAAAAATGTGTGCTGCTACAACATTCTACAAAAGTAAGTTTTAATACCAAATATTGTATATTTTTCTTGATGTACAAATATGAGACAGAGAAGGGTGGTATGGTGGGTTAAGGAACAGGACAAATGTTTTTCACCTGATGCAATGTCAGTTTGCTGAGAATTTTGGTGAGTGTCACCATCTGCACACTCTTGCTAGTTCATAAGCAAAAAAAGTAGTGGTTTTAGTCCAACACAAAGCAGTTGTCTCTGTGGTAAAGCCTAACACTATTGGAAATGAAGAAGGATTGCAATATGTAGCTGAGGAAATGAATATATAATATAAATATAATATTCTTGAAAAGATGACTAATTTCCTTACCTTCAGAAATCAGTCTTCAATAAACATCTGTTATGTCTATTGGGAAACCTACACAGTTTTACCCCACAAGGGGGGTTGTCAGTGTAATTGATTTTCTATTGTTCTCTTGTAAAAGTAGAGGACATCAGCCAGCACGACAGTTGCAATATTATTTTTCATAAATTTAGGTTTCTCGCCTTGGATTGAACCAGACTCTCATAAGAAACTCAACTCTTGTGACTTTTGAAAAGTGAGTTTCTTGACTACGTGTTTGGAAAAAGATTCAAGGCTTGGAGGTCAAAATACAAACAAAAAGGTATCTATATTTGCCATTGAAAAGTATTTGGGGAAAAAAAAAACATTTGCTGAATATCTGAGGTTGGAAATAGTGACATTGTATATCAACCTGCTCCCTCGCATTAGAACCAGAAGTGATTTCAGAATACACCCTGTGGACAAGAGAAGGACCAGCAGCTGCCCTTGCAGACATCACCAAGGACCCGGAGCTCACATGGCTTTTTGGTGGTGTCTCAGGGAAAATGTATAAAAGAAAGAGCAAAAACACTGCAAAAGGCAGGAATAGGAGGGAAAAAATTAAGAAGCAATGGGGTGAAGGCTGAGGTCAGAGAAAAAGGAGGGTAATGAAGTGCTCCAAGGCAAAGCATGAACCTGCTTTGAAGAGGCCCATACTGGAGCAAGAGAACAGTGTGAGGAGGAAGGAGAGGCAGAAAGGAACTGTTGTGGACCCATCGCACCTTACATTCATTGAAACAGGAATTAGGAATGAAGTGAGAAAGGATGTGGGGGGAGATCTGTCTTCAATTTTTGTTTCTCAAAAAAGCCAAAGCTCTTTCAATTGGCAAAAAATTAATTTTCTCCAAGTGACAAATTGGTAAATAATTGCTGGACAGTAACTAATAAGTAATTTCCTTGTCTTTATCTATGCCACAAGCTTTTTCATCCTATTTCTGCCCCCACATGCCCTCATGAGGAAGGGGAGTGAGAGAGCAGCTGAATGGGAGGCCATCCGCTGGGTCATCTCCCCACATGTAGACATGTAATGGAGCCTCTTGCTCTGAAGAACCTCCCTGAAAACAAAACTAAAGAGGAGGACAAAAAACAAATTTTTTGTGTAATTTGTATAATTTGTGTAATTTTAGGGAAAAAAAAATGAAATGAAGGCACAGAAGTATTGTATGTTTTGAAGAGTTACATGAGGCATCTGCTAGGGAGAAGAGACCCAGCTCAACACCTTGGCATTCAAGGATGGCACTGTAGGCTACCGCCTACCTTTCTTCTCATATCAGGGCTGAAGTATTTAATGAAAATGCTGTTTTCTTGCATTTTGACCAGTTAGCTAGCACTTCATACTCTAAGCTGTAGGCAACAACAGGCATTGAATTTGCCCTGAAAAAATGCTGTGGTATTTCCATCTGTCAGTAACAGATTAAAAAAAGATTGTGTGGATTCTTCATAAACAACCCTAAACCTTCACCTACGCTATTTATATCTAAACTGAGGAAGATCTAGTGATTGATAGCTGGACTCCTATGCCAACTACTTACCAAAAGACAAAATAAATTTGATGAAATCTGTACATCTCTGAAGGGACCATGAGCAAGACTGAATTCTCGGTCTTCACTGTCTTTTCTTAAACCCTGCTAAAACTCCACACTGTTATAGAGTTTCAAATTATTACATCAATATAATAGTTTGAAATCTATTTTCTAGTGACTCATGAACTTTGAGAATGAGTATTTCTTTTGCATGAATGTTACCAAATCTGTATTAAACACTAGCTTATTTGTTTTTAGGGTTTATTTTTCTGCTTCAAATGCTATCCTTAGATTTAATGGCAAACGGGCATTGGAATAGCAAATAACATTTATCTGTGATTGACAAAAAACTGCTAGTAAGGGTATTATTTCTTTAAAAGAAGAAAAAGTAATAATATTATGTCTTAATAAATTAGTCTAGAAACATTATTTAATTTCATGTCTAAATAAATTAGTCTTGAAACATTATTTCATTTCATCTTTCTTTTTTTCTTCCCCTCTCCACAAAATAATGAAGGTCAAACAGATGCTGTATGGAAATTAAGCACAAATGCATATATTTCTGATTAATAGGACTTGTAGTGAAGCAAGATTAATTGGTCAGACATAAAACTGAAAGTAAAATTCTACAGCAGCAAAGAAAAGCTGAAAAGCTTAAATAGAGTGATTTTCCCTATTGACAAAAATTGTGCTGTCCACATGCTTGGTGTACCAAAGTGAACAATTGCATGGAGTGCCTTCCACTACGAAGAATATTTTGAAACTGAAATCAAATATGATTTTATTTGTGTTGATATTATCTCATAAATATAAATCTCATTTAATGTGAATTTCCTTTCCTGCTCTAATCAACATGGCAAAAACTTTAATTGTTTTTTCCCAGGGATGAACTTCAGATAAATTAATGATGACTATCACTGGTAATTTAACATTACTTTCTTTTTTCTTTTCTCATCTCTTCTTTATTCTGAATTCTAGACATGAGTATCAACATTGATGTTTACATTTATATAGATGGGAAAATGGAAATTAATATTTCTGGGAAATCATCTGTGCTTTGCAGAGCAAGAAGAGCCCTGGGTACAAAGCCCCATTGGTCCTAGAAAAGCCCTGCCTGATTGACATTTTGAAACCACTGTGAACCAATAAACTAATGCTTAAAGTTTTTAAAGTGCTTATAATTTATTATTTTTTACACTAGATGCTTGATCTCAGGGATATCCCTAAACTACATCACAAAATCATCCAAAACCATTCCAACTTGGGAGAGGAAGGAAAGGGAAGTTATAACATTCTTGGGGTTGTAATGGACTTGGATAAAAACAAGAGCTGTGCATGCATGCACCATGCACTTTGTCATCTTCTCTGGCAACAGTGAATTAATTCTGCTTACTTTTTAACAAAAGCCAAAGCACTGAATTGGCTGCTGGGTGAACTTCTTTGAGCAGAGCTTGTTGTACTATTGAAGTTTTTTCTCGTATGTCTGTTCTTTTAGACTGGTACAGTGAGAAGCTGACTCTAACTTCTGAAACTCCTCAGGATTTGAAGGCAAGGAAGTTGGTCTCCCACTCCCAATTCACGAATTAGGTCAGACTATCAGAGACAATATATAACAAGTCTCAAATCCTCATCTGTAGTGATCAAAAAGCCAATTAATTTAGTTTAATACATAAAAATCTTGCTCCTTTATCTAAGAAATCTACCAGTGCCCTATCTTGGTAAAACCATATCTTGCTTTTTCTGTATTTCAGATAACTTAGTTTTTGTAAAATAATATTTTGTGTATTTAGATTAGCTCTAAATTCTCTTCTAAATGCAGCTTGAAACATCTGAGTAATGCATGAGTAATACATATGAGGCAAAGCAAACTCTGAAATAAATATGAAGAGACACAAGGAAACTTTCTGGTAAGCCAAAAGGAGAAGCAGGCTTTGTCACTTACAGAAGAAACAATCTTTTTTAATGGAAAAATGATGAAAAAAAAAATACCAAACAAGATCAGAGCCAGCCCTGTAAATCAATGCATCTTGCTTGTTGATTTACAACCTGATTAAGATCGATCATTTTCATCAGTACTCCGTTTCCACCCTACTTAAGTGCACTATCAATTATGTTACCCTGCCTTCTTCTGAAGGAGAGTGAAGGGTATTCTAAACATGTTGTGTTGTTTATCCACATTCTTGCTTCTAAGATAATTTTGAAGATTTCTAATCTCTATTATAAAAGTATTAAAGAAGTATTAAAAAGTAATATTTGAATCCAATGTCTGTTTCCACAAGTGCTTTTCTTTTATACTGACATTAATAATTAAGTGATTTCTCTTTAAACTTTCTGTAAATGTCTTTTACACTGTAACAAGGGAAGAAATAAGGAACCGATGGGGAAAGGTAAGGTCAGTGCACCAGATTCTTTCACATAAGGGTTTTTTAAGCAGGATCAAACTAGCTATTACGGCTTGATTTATTTTTTATTTTGGCAGTAACTCTGTAACTGAGCCTTTGTGTTAAAATGCCTGTATGGAGCTGCCCCTACACACCATTTGTTGCATCAAAGACTTTCAGTTTACAGCTATCTCATAGCACCTGGATGCTACAAGGTTTGCAGTTCTCACATTTTCTGAAAGTCAATGAACTATAAAATAATTAGCACAGAATCAGGTCATTTAACTTGAATCAATTTATGACACTGTGTTTTCTCAGTGCTGGCTCCATCACATACGTCAGCACTACGCGGGCAGTCCCATTTGTACCACCTTAAAATTGAATTGATCATACATTAGTTAACAGTTATTCACACATTGCCCTGTGGAATAATTTCACAAAAAGCTGTATAACTGAGGAGATGAAAAGGAGTTGGATTTCACTGCTAGTTTAATACGTGCAGCTGTTTCACCCTGACATCCCTTTGCTAAATGTTCAGGAAACTCCATGCCCTAACACATCATTAAAAGGCAAAAAAGAATTCCTAATTCTCCTGAGCATCTCAAATCCAGATAAGAGTGATAGCCCAAAATATATCATCTGCATTAAGTCCCATGTAGCTACCACTTAAAAAGAAAACTTCCATAAACTACTTCCGAAGGATAGGAATTCTATGAAAACTGGACTAGAGATTTAGTTGAACAATAATATTATAATCTGGGGCTAAGACTAGCAGAGTCTGAATCCAGAAGTTCAGCTGGCAGCAGTAGAGCCACGCTTGCAAATCTTGTACTGTATCATCAAAGTACAGACTTTGCTATCCTTGGAGATTCTGCTTAGCCTTTGCATGCTGCCAAGGGCTAGGTGTGCAACTAAATCACTATCTCTTGGATTAGAAACTATCAGAAAATATGCTCTAAAAAATATGTTAGTGATTTTGAAGTTCTGGTGTTAAAAGAAAAGAAAAAAAAAGAAAACCTCCAAACATTACTTTATTGATTCACAGTGTTTTCAAAATATCAGTCAGGCAGGCTTTTTCAAAGCAGGAGGAAAAGAGCAGCCAGAGGGAGAAACCACGTGGATTTAGAGAAGCCATGTAATCACTGGGCATGCCCTTCAACCTGATGATTTTAACTAGCAGTGCTAACTACTCGACTAATGAAGTTTTTCCAAGGAGGAAGGGCACCTTGTTAGTGTAATGTCTTTGTCCAACAATATACAGGATGTTTAGCAAGTCCCTTTAAAACTGAGAAGGGAGATGAAACGGTGCTTAATGGTGATGAAAGTCTCATCAGCATGAACTGATGTTGCTGTGCAAATACAAATTTTTTTTCCTCTCTCTCCATTTTATCCAGGCAATTCTTAAAACTAAAAAAGAAATAAGACCTCTCCTGGCTTCTAACTTTAGTATTAATAGTGCTGATGCTGCATCATTAGTGGTAAAATACTGGATTCATAATCCTGAAGGCAGTGGTTGTAACATAACATTTCCTTGTTATTCGGAGTATAAGACTGAAACTGACCAAGTAATTCATATAAAGCTTTTAACTTTTACGTGGGAGAGGGGATGAGGAAACTTGCCATGTTAAAGTGCATAAATTCACCTCTGAGTTCCAGACATGGGACGGAAGACCAAACAATTCTTTATGTGCACAGATATATGTTCAAGTGGAAAGGTTGACTGTGTGCTTTAATCTTGACTACAATGGTGACTCAGTCATGACCCAGCTGCATACATGAGTGAATTGCTACTGCTATTCAACCATTAATTTTGGCTAAATCATTTTACAAGAATGAGGGGTCTTGGCTACCCTTTCAGATTTGTTAAGGTTCCACTGTAAGAACTAGGTTACTTCAAATTTTCCCAGAAGATGTTGTCTTCTTTCTTGTACCAGCTAAGTAGTATTTAAGTACCTAGGAGAACTAAAGCATATGATCACTCACTGAAGAAGAATATTTTTATAGAAACTGTTCCTCATGCTCATAAAAATTGCTGACACAGTAAAAATAACTGAAAACAGTCTGTAAGCTCCTTGTAATTAAATATATGTGTCTGAAGGTGTGAAGTCTCTATGGTCAGTGCAAGGGCTAGCTCTGGTATTTGCCAGTGTTGCTTTTTGTCTAATCAAATGTGGTTGATAATGGGATTCCACTGAATTTCATGACATTAGCAGTCAGTGGTACAAAATAATGTGGAAATATGTGTTAGCATACAAATTTCATGTTCTGCTCCTTCTCTCTACAAAACTCGTTTATCCTCATGCTGCTGTAAAATCTTCAGCGTTGTTTCTTCCAGTGCATATTGCTCTAATTTGAAAGAGATTCTTAATAGCAACCTCTGAACCAGTCTGCTCTCATGTATTGGCAGATTTCTTATTGCTCATATGGTTCAAAACATTGCCCCATTGCCAGATTTTTCATAAGACCAGGAATTAACAGAACAGTACCTTTCTCTTTTTTCTCAGTTTGTCATCCATGCAATTTATAGTGATATAAATAAGTTCTCAATGTGAGGGTCAAAGAAACTGTACAGTGAGAATGAATAAGGAGATTTGTACAGCAATCTAGGGGGTGTGGCTGGTTAATGTCTACTTGTTTTAGTATTAACTTCTTTAGTTGTTTTATATTTAGATTTCATAATAATGTTTAGAATTATCATACTGATAAGTGAGAAATATATTTCTCAAGATGTTGTTGGAGAGGCAATAACTTAATTTCTCAAACTTGCAGACCTCTAGTCAATCAAAATGCATTTTCAAGAGAGCCAAAATCTCCAGTCTACTTTGATAGTTTTATTACATGATTTTCATGCTGGTGGTCACACTTGAATTCTTGCCCTACACTACATAAAAAGTTGCTTCTCTAGGTATGATGCTGCAGCTTCAACCATTCCTCTAAAAAGTTCATTCTAAATATCATTCTGCTAAAAAGTCTTATTTTGATACCTGCTAGAGGGATAGATGGACTTAAGCTTAAAAGAGTTTAAAGTAAACAAGCAAAGTAATACATGCTTAACAGCATTTGCTGGTTTTGGTCCAAGCACTTCAGCTGCTCTGCAGCAGTATTACGTTGTTAAACTGCTAGAGTTTGAGTGAAACTATAGGGCATCTCATGTGACTCTGCTCACTTTGCTCTGATTCAAACTATTTATTATGAATTTCAAATTATGCTGTGAGATGTTTTGGACACTACATGGAACCTATAAGTTTTGCAGCATTATGCTCTCTCAACATGGTGATTTACTGCAATTTTTTAAGTTTATTTTGAACCTTATTGTTAGGAAATATAAATGCAAAAGAAATTTTGATATTATTTTTTTCAGAGCTATTAGCACAGCTCCCCAGCACTGAAGACTGGAGCAATAGAAACAGACCTCCTGAAAATATTTTACCACATTATTTTGAGGCTACAGATAAATTAGATGATCACAAAATGAAGAAATGATACCCATATGCTTGCAATTTAATTTTAGGTGCTCTGTACCGGTATATGTAAGTGCCTGTTACCTTTGTAATGGAATGTATAGCTGAGAATCAGTTCCCTCCAGCTTCCTGCAGCACTCTCCTGCAGCCTTTGTAGCACTGTCCTCTTGTAGGCTTCGTGGACTGGCAGAGATCTAAGAAAATGCCTGAAAGAGGAGAGGAATGCTGTCAGAACTTTTCAGGATAGATCTGAGTTGTAAAGGGGCACTGTAGCAAAATATGAATCAAAGGAAGTCAATAGGTGAGAAGAGATGCTTCTGAAAGCAATACAGAACTCAACTGTTCTGTATTTTGGCTTCCTCTTCCAAGAAGCAAGTAGGCCTGAGATAGAGCCCAGCTCTTGTCCTTGTGTAAATCATGAGGAAAAAATGCTAAGAGCATGACTTGTGTAAGCAAGCTCAGAATCATCACTGGCTTCCCAGAGCAAACCCTGGTGCTATAGATCAGGTTTACAGGCTGTCATAGGAGTCTTTCCTGAGAGCATAAGTTGGTCAGTTTCTGAGCCAACACCGAAGGGTATAAGGTTATAACAGTTAACATACACTTGAATGGCAGAGCACCATGGGTCATTGGTAAAATGGAAGGCTTAGCAATGGATCAAATTGTATCTGCCAAGTATATTTATCTTTCTGCTTGCTAAGTGTTAAAGAGTCCTGGTGACACTGATAAGGGAACTGTTACTTATATTTGCAAAGCCTAAATACATCGGGTCACGACCCTGATTGGATAAGTGGTAGCTAACTCTTATGGCTTCCTAACAATAGAGAAAAATTACAGCACTGGTAATTGGGCACCAGCTATGGAGGAAAATGTGAATGGCAATAAGTACAAAGGCAGATTATGACTTTCTGACTCCTTGGCATGCTTTAGGGAGTATATGGACCATGCCACTTTAGTCTGATCTTCACAAAGGAATTGTCTTTGAACAAGCCGAGACTGACAGCTTTTTTCTGACTCTGTGTGAGGTTTAAGTCTGGGACCTGGCACTCATGTCACTGGTGCATGACAAAAAGTAGAGAAGTAACACTTTAGAAACACAGTAGGCCTTCTGCTGCTTCTTTTGTTGCCTGGACAGTCCAGTGTTCTTTCGTATCACAAAAATACAATAAAGGTGCTAGCCATCGATTTGGTCAAGGATGAAACTGGCATAACAGACCTGCAATGGTGCAGAACTAATCTGCAGCCAGTCCTTTCCTGTGTGATAAGCCCACACCCAAGTAACCTAATCTGCAATGGGAAATCACACACACAAAAAGTGCCCAGCATTTAGTGATGGCCTGAATTTTTTCACAGTCATTTGAAGGTTTCCATTGGGGTCCTCTAGTCATTTGATGTGGCAATTAGCAAGAGGACTTTTGTACTCCAAGGAGATGAAACGGCCCTCTCCAATAATTATTTTATGCCTTGAACAGAAAAAAAAAAAAAAAGAAAAAAAGCCCAAGGAATAGATAACATTGTTACATCAAACAGCAAATGGGTTGTGCTTCTAGCTACTTATTTTCTTTTATTAAAGCAAAGTGCCACTTTTCCCATGAGAAAAATCCTTGAAATTATAAACCTAAATTTCCCCATATTGTCTCTAGACTATCTACATTTTTATCTAGGTTTCCAGTGCAGTCTGTTTGCTTTGATCCTGCAGCATTTTATAATTCTTATTTGCTTTTAAAACTCTTCATGAAATATTAGCAAAGTGTAGGGGGAAAGTATTAGCACCATACGTAAAATCTTGTTTTCTTCCCATCAGAAACAAACACACCGAAAGATAAAGAGACAGATTTCTTAATTCGTATGCTTAAGAACTCACATACATCAATCAATAATTTTATGCAAGATAGAAGAGTTTGATTTCTTCACAGTCAGTATAATCTGCTCAGGAAAAGCTGCATACGAAATGCTGTTGCTGACTTCATTCACATCATGAGTTCCCAGTTACAAGAAGACTGTTTGTAGGTGAGGGAATTAAGGCTTGGAGATAGCTCCCTAGGAAGAACAGCATAAGCTGATGTCAGAACCTATTGGTTCTTTTGCACTATTTTGATAATTAAGTGAAGCCCATCAGACTTCTGGTTAGAGAAATTTACTTATTTCTTTGTTCAAATCCTGCCTTTCTTTGTAGTTGAGCAAAGATATAGTGTTGTAGACAAAAGCAAAAACATTTTACAAAGAATTAATAAAAACGCATCTAAGCAAGTTTAAATTTTTAACAGCTAACTTCTATTCTATTCTTTAGTTTATTGAGGCACCCATACATGAAACCAAAGATTCTTTCACCAGCAGTGCAATTTCTTTTGCAGGACATTAGATACGTTTTGATTTGTCTGGGATTAAATCAGAATGGTTCTATTTCCTTCTGGACTTATTTTTCAGTCATTTTAACTGATGAAATTACATGATTCTTTTACACTGAAACATTCCTTAGCAAATGTGTTGTCTTCTGCATCCAATTTGCTCTCTAAAGAAAGGGGTTAGGTCTAGTTGGGCAGACATATGCTGTTGCTACACATATTTAACTTTTCACCCACACTATAAAAAATCCGTAACTCATCCAGCATGCTGTTATCAGCATTTAGTCCTAATGAAAGAAAGCATTTTTTAAAGGAAGAATGAGTGGGCCTAATTATGTTCTCACTTAAGCTGAGTGCAAAGGAGATCAGAATCAGATTCATTTTTATTTTTTTTTCCTTTCTTTTCTTCTTCCAGAAAGACAGAAGGAATAAGCTTATCAGCTTCACTGGTAGTTGGCCTTCCAGTTGGCATTTTCATTATACAAAATGGACATATTTTTCCACTCCCAAGAAATTACGTAAACATATCATGTCATAGCTCCACTCCTTTGACTGAGTCACAAAATGTTTTCTTTCATTGATGATGAGCTTTTCTACAGGGAAGGTAATGGACTATCTGTGTTGTCTGGAGCTGGATGAATACATTGCACATCATTATTTTTTCACCAAGTTCCATCTTGCTTTTGTGGATCAGTTTTATTGCCTGTATGGTTTGATGGGCAGCTGGTAAATTGATCACAAGCCATAACTTGTTAATAGTTGAGAGCCATAATTTAAGCTGAGTTTTTAGAACCTTTCTGTATACCACCTAGACAGCTTATGATCATCATTTTTGTGCAAGAACTGACATTCATTGATTCAAATATCACAGCTTGAGGCGATTTTCATTATTTACTTAAAAATCGTAAATATTTCTACCTGTGAACACTCAGAGCAATCCAAAGGAACTGGAACAGAGTTGATTTACTTTTGTGTCAATGTTCAAATAAATATTTACAGAAATGTACTGCTCACATGCTCAGTTTTTTCACAGTAAAGAGTAATTCAGATGATATGTACCTCAGTCCAGGCAAGCAACAACAAACCCAGCAAAGCACATGGAGATCATACAGTGTCTAAACATGCAGGAACAGCTGGCATTGTCTTACACGCCTGACAGACATTAGGAGAATCACATTACCTATCAAGTATTAACCTGGGGAACCAATGGAGTACTTCAAATGCTTTTGCACAGAAAAAGCACAGGAGAAAAGAGATTTCGGAACAGCAGAACAAAAATGATAGGTTGTGTCCTTGGGTCCAAAAGGAAATCATGGATAAAGATGGGTAAAGCAATGTGAGTTTGGAGATGGCTGACAAATGAGAAGAGGAGGTAAGCATATTTTGCATACAGCTGTCTGCCTGTTAGCTGTACATGGGGCAGGTTGATATGGGTCCAATTCTCCATCCAAAGCCCTGGTCAGTGCCCTTCTCTTCTTTGTTCCACTCCACATACCTTATTCTGCTACATACTTGCATCCCAGACATATGCTGACTTGTGTCCATATGCCATAGATATATTCTATTAACTCTGATTGAAGAATATCTTGATTTCCTTTCTTTTGCATTTTACCCCCTGGGAATAACTGCTTATATAATAATTATTACTGAACTATGATAGAAAGAAACCATCAAAGTAGCTTTCTTGTCAGGAAGAGCTCCAGAGAAGATGTAAGTGATCCTAGCAGAAATCACAGATGGACACAGACTTCATCTCAGTGTGGAGACAAGGTCAGGGCTAAGAACAATTTGCAAAAATGGACAACAGGCTAAACGACAGGAAGGTTAAATCTTCACAGCTTCACTCTCACCAGTAAAACCCAAAGAGAAGCTATGATTTGAACCGACTACCCAAGTGTGGTTTAGCATCACTTGTATATTAGACCTTCCCTACACCACATCCAACTCCCTACATGGGAGTCAGGTGCGGCTATCTGCCAGGAGTTTGCTTGTATCGGAGAGACAAGCATACAGTTAGTGAAGGAATATATTTCTTCCTTTCATGCAGTGGCTTCACTCCGCAAGTCAGTGTAAAGAGTATCAGATGTGAAGGCACTATGGACCCATCTGCCTTTTGACAATTCCAGATGCTCTTAGGCATGCTGATCCCTAGAATAAATGGGGGGGAAAAAAACAGTGCTCTGATCTTCACAAATTTTTCATCTTTGTACTGCCAATTTCTGATTACAACACACAAAATATGTGGTCTGTATGAAAGATGAACAATCTTTAAAGCATCCATCATTTCCTACTACTGTGAATACAAATGCTACTGAATGCACGAGTAAGAGGCCTTCTTTGGGGGGAGAAGAGTCCCTTCCATTTGTCAAAAAAATTCCCAAGCACCTTGCAATAGTTGACCTGCTTTCATGGGGAAGAGATGCAAAGTCCAAACTGTATTGCTGAAAACAGATGGAGTACTGCACTTAAGTACAATCACAGGAGTGTCTAGAAAGATAAGGATGTAGCACAAGCAGAGGACTGAAGGTCGAAGGAACAGATTTTCCCAAATAAGCTTGTATTAGGAGTAAATGAACATAAATAATAACAACATATAAATATGAAATACATTGGAAATCAACTTTGGGTCTCAAGAGGATCTGGAGAAACCCACTATGTCAGCTGTGCCCACGCTTACAGCCCATTACCCATCTATCCTGCTGGAAAGCTTGATAACAGCTCATGGCATTGTACTAGTTAGAATGCTTTGGAATAGTGGAGCAGCCACGATCACACGGCATATGGCAGTTATCTGAATATTTATGCAGACATCTCTGTGGTTTTGGTCTGTCTTAAGCTAGGCTGTTGCTGCAACAACAAATAAAATATAGTACAAATAACTTTGACGCATTCATGCAAAAACAACTACGATTAATCTCCATCTGCCAATATAGAAGAAGTGAAAATGTTAACTCACCATGATCCTAAGATGACTTTTGCTGAAATGGAGGTGTGTTCCTTAGAGCAGAATGAAGCCACTGATTCAGAAAGACACTTCAGAGTGTATCTTGTTGGCAGCTTGCTTTCCTGTCTCATTGACTTCAATACGTTTCAGACTGTAGCTAAAGTATTTAACTGAGATATATATCTTTAAAATTCTTTTTTAAGGCCTTAGTTACGTGGGAATGTTGCAGTGGTTTGACCTAGGATATGAATTTAATTGATTTAGATAAATCAGTGCAAACTCTTGTGGGAATATATTCATTTTAGAGTAAAAAGAAAAGCTATTAGTTTGTCTTAAATTAGCTTAGTTTTAAATTAAATTAAATTAATCTACTTACCTAATTATTTAGCCAAGCCTTAAAACCAAGATTTAAAATCTGACTGAAGTTAAACCAATGCACTTTCCCTGTAGACATCAGACTTTTGACCCTGTTGCTTGAATTATGTAGTCTTCATTCTTGATTAAAATGATTCTGTAGTCATCACACAGAGTGGGTGTGGAGAGACGCCGGCAGCAGTACATGTGTTCCCTAGAGTCCTTTAACAATAAAAGCCAGATTCCTTTGGTTTGACCTATGAAATAGATGTCTTCTTGTGTACTTCTAAAAGCATGTTTGCAGTCTGCTCTGGGGATATACATGTACATATGTTCTTTTAACTACCAGAGATGCTCTAAAAAACATCAGAGTTTAGGAAATGACAGAGTGAGTGGGTGGCAAGAAAGGATCACATAATCCTCCAAGAGAGTCTTTCGGGTAGAGACTAATTTCAGGATGTGAATAGCAGCTGTGAGTTATCACTGCTTATAGCGCATCAGAATTCTTACAAATCTTCAGACTGGGACAACATGACTGAGAATTTGTAGGGGCTTTAATGCAGGCTCAGAATAGCACCCTCTCTAATGCCTCCCTGCCCTCATCCTCCCCAGCTCGGTGTCTTTAAGGAAAGCAATGGTCAAAGGAGTCTCATGCTTCACCTCATAGCATTTTACATCACAATTTTTACAGCAGTAAAGCCAGTCTGGAAATGTTTCTTTCAAATGCCACTTGGAAATGTCTCTCCCATTGATCAAGGCAAAAGGATCCAGATTTTGTTGCTAAGGGACCCAGTCTTTTCCAGGGTACTGATACTTTTCAGTACAGAAACACACATGGTATACATATATAGCCAAAGAAGATCCCAGTATTTAAATTTGCGAAAGAAAGAAAACCACAGTCAGCCTTCCTGAGTCTAAATGGTCTACAGGCTTCTATTGCTAACACTCACCACTATCCAAGCAAGCTGCCTGTGGGGGAGCATGAGAGGAGGACAGCTGGAGATGGCAGTAGCATCACTGAGTTTCACAGTCTGCTTTTGCTGCTCTGGTTTGGCACCTGTGAAAAGACAAAAATCCTAAATCCCAAGGCAGGCCTGTCTCAGCAGCACTTATCACAGCAGATGTCCAGGAGGCTTAATAAATATATGAAGGGCTACTCCATATGCTGAGGTACATACTATGGACATTCTCGTGATGTTCACACAGGTTCTGATGTTCCCTTGCCTTCGAAAATGACTCTTGCTACCTCACCTGCAGTCCCACTTATTAATCTTTTAAATGCCCAGGTAACAAACTGAACGAATATGAACTGAGACCCAAATACAATGGAGCTTCAAACCAAAAGATTAAGGGGAAATTGTATTTTCTCTGGTTCAAGTCTCTAATGCCAATTGGATTAATTGGGAGATTAATCCAAGATGCTACACACTGATATGACTCAATTATACATGGTATAATAGGATGCCATTCAGTTCCTTGGCAATTTTGTTCCCTCCCCATGGGGCAGTCTTGTCTGTTTAGATCATAAGCTCTTAGGGACTTGAGCTTGCTACTGCTAGCGTCTAGCACAATAGTAGTCCTTTCACAGCTGGTCCCTTGGCAATCCAACAAGATTACATTTACTATCAGTATTGTTCAGTGGGAATTCTTTCATTAACTTTAACTGGAATTAGAGAAGGCTCATAAATGCTTTGAAATATATTACTCATAATGCTGAAGTAGAGATGTGCTTCAGTATATTTTTTCATGGAATGTCAAAGGTCAGAAGCAGGTTCAATCCTAGACATTGTTCCAGTCTCCAACTTTTGACATTCTGCAAAGCAATCTTTTGGACTGGTTTTTTCAGGCTTTCACAACGATCTGGCAGAAGATGCATGTGACATTAGGCTGATGCCACCTTTTCTCTTCAGAAAACTCAATATTTTTATCCAGGTGTTTTTTAAGACAAATTGTGACAAATTTTATCTGCTCATATTACTTTTTAATACCAAAACTGAGAAATGTTAAATTTAAACACTGTTCAAATGATTGCAAAAGCAGTTTAGACACATATTTCAATTAAACACTGAGTGAAGTCTTGTGAAATCGAGTTCACAGTTAAGCTGAGAGCAATCAATGCAGCAGGCATAAAATGTTTACTGTTACTCTTCTTGCAATATTATTTGCTTAAGGAGAGAAAAGGATGGTCCGTACTGTTTTCAGAGTAATAAGTGTGAGAAAAAATACAAGAGAAAAAAAAAATCTTTACCATTATCACTTGAATATTGGGAAAACAAAGCTTGCAGTACTTCAGGCCGGGCAAAGAGCAGCCTGTCTGCCAGCAATCTCTTGGGGAAATAATCTGGAGGGAATGTCAGTTCACTGCTACATGATCTCTGGCTGAAGGAGTGTACTGGGCTCCAATTCAGATGCTAAGAAACTTAGGAAGCAGAGAACAAAAGGACCAGTTTATCTTCAAAAGCCAGTATACTGATAACCCAGCTCTTCAGATTAATAGCAGATTGCTCCGTAAACAGGACTATTCCACTAAAAAGATAGTGAGTATAAAATGCTACTCAATATGTGTAAATAGACCAGAATATAATCTAAATCTAAATAAATTAATTCTGAATTATCACTATTGGATCAAAACCAATTTTCAGACATTTTGCCTGTAGATAACTTGTAAAACCTTCTTTTGATATTCTTTAGGAGATGAAAGGCAAAGATAATATTAAACCATTTCTTAGTGTATCTAAAGATGAAAGAAAACTCCCAAAGAGTGTTCGCCAAATAGGTACTCACCATGAGCTAGGAAATTGGTGGTTCAAATGTCATGGGGAAATAGTATGTCAGTGCAAATTCTTTAGTGATCAATAAAGTATTCTGCATTCAAAACCTTCACAAAAAGGTTTCTGAGAACCTCCTCAGACTCCCCTAGGGACAATCCTTTGACATATTCATTGACACCTACTGGGGTAGTTGTCTTTCTAGTTTTGCTATAAGACAGCAATTTGCCACCTCATTATCAGTGTGATTGATGAGAACACCATCTGAAAATCTGTCACGTGATGATTGTTGGTTTGACTCCTCTAGATTGATCTCCTTAAAGACATACACTGATGTGCATGACAAAATGTTTTCTGGGGAAAGATGTCAATGACAGGTTTTTTGAAAGAAACTGCAGTTTCTGCAAAAGCAATTGACTCTTCCCTCCCTCCTCCCCACCCCTCCAACTCACCCTTTTTTCTCTCTCTTTGATATTTGTGTTTAAGAAGTAGAACATTAGACAGCTTTTGCTTTTAATGGCATTCCAAAGTTGGCTTCTCCACTGACAAATGCTGTGACTTTGACACTAAAGTGTGTTAAGCACTTGCAGATCTCTGAATGAAAAGTTCTTGGTAAATTAGAAATGTGATCAGTGCACAAAATACCACCTCTTACTAAGAGCCCACTGAACACTATGTCAGTACAGTACTCTTGAAACTTGCATAATTTCTCCCTCTCTAGCTACTTGTTGCATTTCCTTCCTCTTTCTCTTTTGTTTTTTTTTACAGCTCTTCTTTGTATAAAAGCTAAGCATCCCATATTTTGAATTGTTCCCTTTTTCCTTCCCGTTGTTAGCCTCACTTGGCAGGTGCTTCAGTTCTGTTATGGGAAGGTGAGTTTGCAGCATGGTGGGAAGTCAAGAAAGATTTCCTCCTCACTAGCCTAGCAGGAGCACACAGAAAATCCCTCATTGCTGTGTCTCCATGGCTGAAGATCAGTGAAAATGTGGTTGGACACAATTCAGTGCTGAGTGCAGCAGAGCCATCCTCATCTACAACATGCAGCCGTGAGCTCTGTGGATCCATGATGCATCCTGGCATGTGATACAGCTTTGAAATCAAAGCTCCAAAACAAGAGATTGCCTCTGTCTTGCCCATCTCTACTCCTGTTCACCAGGATTAGACTGCCACATCTTTCCTTGTTGGTGCTTCCTACTTTTTAAACTTATCCATCTCTACGTAGCCCTGATTTAAGAAAGTGTTTCTAGTGATAACATGAAGATATGAATCAACAGGCCGTCATTGTGCTTCAGGAATGAGCTAAATGTCATACTGAAAATCAAACACAACTTGCAACCAAAGTCTTTTGATGTCAAGGCTAGTTGTCGGTCAACACTCTCACTGGCTTCTGTTACAGGCAGGATGGCTACCCACAATTTGGAGACACCTGAGAAGTACGTCCCTGTACTCTCTAGTTGCTACCTTGAAGGTAAAGAGGATGGAAGAGGGCCCACACCATACTCTGCTCTCCAAACAGGTAATGCAGTTATAGCAATTGAGGTTTAGATCCTTCTTGGAGCCAAGGGTGATCCCATGCACCTTGCTGGCACCTTGCTTGCTTGTTCATTAGCTCCCTAGTTGGTCTCATTATCAGTAGGCTGAGGCATTAGACACAGGAAGAACTTGCTTTCCAAATCTAGATTTGCAAGTTTTTGGGTTTTTTTTCCCAAAGAGTATGAATTCCATCAACAAACACTACTTCATTTTTCTCAGTTTCTATATATTTATGTCCAAATAAGACTTGAGTCTTACTCTTTTCTCTCCATCCATCAGATTTTCTTTATTTTCTCCTATTTCATTCTGTTACCTTTCCAATAGGAAATATAGAAATATAGAAAATAGATCAACATGTTATCATAAAATCATGTAATTGTAGAATAATTAAGATTGGAAAAGACCACTAAGATCATCCATTCCAACAGTCAACAAATCAACACCATGTCCACTGAACCATGTCCCTAAGACATATAATTGTCAGCTGAGAATTGGGAGTAAATACAGATTGAATGCAGATGTTAGACTAAAGGCTAACTCCTATGACCCAGAACAACACCATAAAATGCAAAATCTAGTAGATACATTTCTTTCTGAATTCTACAGAATAATCCATTAGGCTGGAATTGTCACTCAGTACAAGAATACCATACCCTTACATCACTGCCTGTTTAGTAGTATACATTTTATATTGGCTACAGTTTGGGAAAGAAATCTCAATCTGTAAAATATTCAGGGACCTGATACCTAATGAACAATAGATAAATTCTAATCCACTTCACTGAAATGACTGTTACACAAACACATCCGACTGCTTTTATAAAGATTTGAAGATAAAGATTGTACTAAAGCTCTTTAAAATACATTTTCACTAATAAAAGTTTATTCAAACATATCAAAGAAGGTCTATGAGAGTTTTGCTCTTCAGCATAATTCTAAAAACTCTCTAGTATTCTTCGAAAAAAGCACTAGTTCTCTCATCTTCTGCCTCTGTATTTTTAAATAAGCTTCTTCAGGACAGAAATACTGCAAGATTCACTGTATTCCCAAAAACATAATTCTCCTATATGGAATGAAACAATTCCGTGTAATACATCTCAACACTGCCTGATAGTGCAGGCCTGGGAGACGGGACTGTTCTACCCCACTAACTGTGCAGTGGGGATTTGGAATGTCATTATAAGTGTGAGAGATGACATCTTAGATGTCATAGATAGGTTGAGAAGTAGGAAAAGACCCTGAGCTGATGCATGCTGTTGCAATCGCACTGATTTGCAGTAGCTAAGACTGTTAGCCCATTGTAGTGGCGCAGTCCTGTGCCCTGTGCTAAGGCTGACTGTGGGTAAACAAAGTGCTCGGTGCCAGTGCCCAGGTGCTGTTCTCTTAGGAGGCTGCACGAGAGGCAGGGCCCATCCTCACTGCAGTACACGGGACTGGGGGCAGCTGCCAGGGCAAGGAGGGAGTGAGAAAAGAGAGGTCGGGGAGGGGGGACCCTTGCACAATGTGGAGTGACTTCAGGCAATTAAAAGGAAAACGAATGAAATTTCTGGCTGAATGCCATAGTACTCTTTTTTTCCCCCCTTCTTCGCTGCCATTAGTCCATGAAAATGGGAAGGTATGTGAGGAATTCCCCACTTTATATTCCAGCTCCCATCTATTGTATTTTAGCTATGCCAGAGCAACACTGTTATTCTCTCAGGCAGCCTGGGAAGAGTCAGGCATCTTGTCCAACAAGACTGATGACAGGGCTGAGGCTGACTGAGCTGTGGCAGAGCTTAGCAATGCAAGCTGAAAGAATCTGCTGATCGGATAGGGAAACAAGAGCGCTGACTTCTGCAGCAAACCACCTTTGCGGGAGGTATCTTTTGTTGCCACTGTTTGATCTATAGGGAAATAAATAGCTTTTGCTTAATCATTCTGTTTGCAGCAGTGGGAGGTCAGTGATAGCAAATCGATATAATTTCATGTTAGAAAGCAGTAAGGGTTATCCTGCTTTGGAGTCTCATAAAACCTGTTCTCCATTTTTTGTTGTACATCCAAACTTTCTCCATATTGAAGCTAATGGCAAAATTCCTACAAATTCCTACAAATTCCTGAAATTCAGTTATAGAGAAACTCCTAATCATCTCCAAGGCAGTGTACATTAGATAACTGAGCCTTTTCAGAATCATGAATGTTGGGAAAGACCTCTAAGATCATCTAGCTCAGCTATCACTCCGTTACCATCATCCCCACTAAACCACATCCCTCGGTGCCACATCTGAATAGTGTCTTGCAGCACTCTCGTGAAGTATATTAGCATTACTGACAAGTAAATGCCAAAAATCACAGCTCCACCAAGTTGGGGAAAAAAATTGAGAATCCTAATTAAAATATCTTTGCAGATGTCCATCCGCCCTGTGTGGTAGTGCCCTGCACAGGGTAGAGGCACAGTCCTGCTGCTGTGATGGTCTCACACAGATACCAGCATCAGCTGCCTTCATCCCTGCAGCACAGCACTCTTGCGCTTGGCAGGGCTGCAGCTCCCATGCCCACCACTACAGCTCAGCTAGCTGCTCTGATCCTGGCTCCAGCAACGGGCCATAAAGAGTCCAAAACACCTTAATGTAAAAAGACAGGATTTTAAGCATGTCCAACTACTTATCAAATGCAAATTGTGTTTTTATGGATGTAGTACTTATTCACTTCTCTTAAGTGTTTCACAGTTTCAAAATTTCAAAAACAATAGAAACCATATTCCTTACTGACAAGCAGTGGATTCATTTTGTTTTGAAAACATATCCATAAAATTCTATAGAATAAATTATTTACCTTCAGTATTTTGAATTGGTTTCAGGGGTTTTTAACACATGGAGTGTTGTAGTAATATGAATATTGATAAAAAGCCATTCTTTAAGAAAAATACTGAATATCTGTGACTTCTTCATATTAAGAGGAAACATAAAACACTCTTGATTTCAAACTTACTTCAGTAGATTTGTTTTTGAATAAGCACCCAAATCTCAAAAATCTGATTCTGTCTTCAGGAAATGAGGCCTGGTGAAAACAACCTAGAAACTTGACAAATATTTTTGAATCTTATGATTCAAATTAATGCAGCGATTGGCATCATTGCAGA